ACATTGAGTTCATTTTTATCAAAACTTCTAACCCTGTTCAGCTTGTTGACAAGTGACAACAAAATGGACTAAATGAGAAATCAAAGAGGAGAAATTTTTCCAGCTCAATCCCTGATAAAACATAATCTCTCTCAGTACCATGTGTGTTGAGTAGCAACCGTATATTTTGACTGGCTCAGTCGAAGGCAACGGTGCTTAGCTCAAAGGTGGTGGCTGCCACACTGCTTTGCTCTGAATGTGTGTTGCTCTTCCCAGTCTGGTCTAGCAAGAATCAAATCTCTCACATCAAGCCCCGGAAAAGGGTTACTATGCCTCTTCCCAAACTCCAATATAAGGGCTTTGACTTGTACTTCTTCCCATTCCAGACCACCTAAATTTTAAAACTTTGGGTCTGTTCTATTTCACGTTGTTCAATGATGACTGATCCTGTTAGAACTGGTGCAAAGCCCTGATTTACAGCTTGTACTTTTTAAAAGAACATCTGATGTTTTCTATCAAAAGATAATGTTTTAATTCCAAGGAGGGTTCAGGAACATAAGTTAACTTCATCGCTGGACTGAGCTTTTTCTATTGATGATACAAACTTGATATTTATATTTTTATCTTAATTGTTTACAGTCTCATTATGTAAGTCCTTAGTGCTAATAGGATAGTAAAATGGTACAGCCATTATGGAAAATGGCATGGTACTTCTTCACAATGCTAAAACTGAAATGTAAAAAATTCCAACAATTTCACTTGTAGGCATATATCTTAGGGAAATATGAACAGTGACACAAAATACATAGTTGCTCATTGCCACATTATTCACAACGGGAAAAAGATGGAAACAACTGAAGTGCCCTACAATGGATGAACTGATTAACAAAATGTGGTGTAAATCCATAACAGAGTAATATGAAACGATAAAGAATAATGAAGAGTCCCGGAAACATTTTATAACATGGATGAATCTTAAGTTAAGTCAATAATAAAAGGACAAATATATAGTATTACAAAGAGAATGGGTTTATGCGCAAAAAGGGAGACTCACTTATGAAATGGCAAACACATGTTAATTCTGGTTAAGGAAAAGGCATATGCACTACCGAGAAAGTCAGTACATGTGACCACAGTAAAGGAAGATACTGAGAGGTGCACAAAATTAAAGATTGTGATAAAATGTCCTAATATATATAGTTATGCAGCAAGAGTAATAATAACAAAAAATGTGTGAGTATACAAGCACGTGGGAGTGCACGCATATACATATTGAGTTAGTTTATTGTGCCAACCTGGCCAATAAACACATGTGGGATTATTTGAAGGGTGGAGGGATAAATGGCTTGGTAAGCCTCCCCTTTCTAGTTCTCAGGTCTCTTGCTTTGTGATGGTGGCACCAGGGTGCAGCTGCCTTAGCAGTTCCC